CCGCTGCTGCCACTTCGCTGTTGACCCCCGTGAAGCGATGACTGGAAGTCAAACGGCGTGGTTCGCAACTTCGCCGTAGTTATTTTGAAAATGACTCGACATGAGTTTTTATATTTCACACAGCGAGCATGAAAAATGTACTCGCAGGCCCCGCTGCAACGACTGGAAAAAGCTGAAGTCAATTAATAGGCGTTGGGCATGCGAAGCAGATGGATGCGCGAAATATCTTACTTTTTGGCATCGTGACGCAACATTAATCAACCTGGACGCCAAACTTCCTGTATCAAAACGACTCAGCCCAACTTATCAGATGATCGCCGCGAGACATGATAAATCAGAAAGTGCATACCATAATCATATTCAGTATATCGACCCTACCCTATGCAATTATTATTAGTCACTCGCCCATGATTATCGTCGCCGAAACCATGATTTTGCAAGGCGACTTGTGCTTCGTTCCTTTATCCGCAGTCAAGTACGAAACTCAGTCTCGGACAGATAATCAGTGAATAATGTTGGACCAGGATAGCTTGCCGGTCAACTGGTGCCGGATCATTCGCCCGTGTCGAGGCTGCGTTCAGACTAACTATAACTAAAAGCAGAACGGTTCGTAGACGACGCTGTTGAAGCTCAACAGTTATTTGGTTACGCTTTAAACCAAACGGTGCAGACATGTCGCGTGGGACACAGCGTGATCTTCTCTGATCAAATAAACTCAGTAATATGCACCAAATGGTGATGAATTTTAGACAGTACGAAGCATATGGCAAACGGGGACATTTAAGCATTTATGTAAAGTTGAGGGTACAGCGTGGTGGCAGGAGATGCAGGACGATTGAAGAACGAGGTGAGTCCGGATTCGACGAGGTCATTCAATGAAAACACGAGATGAGGTAAAGCTAGGTGATGACGAAAGCAAGGCTCAAGTCGACGGTGGAAAGGTGGTGACGACCGAGATAAGCGCTGCTGCCGGTTTGGTGGCCGGTGGTCGCTGTGCCGCTGCGTCGCTGTTGGGGGACGCGTTGTTCGGACCTCGTCGTCCGCCGCGTTGTCAAACACGAATCGGTGCGGCTGGAGATTTCTTGTAAAGTCACAAAAATGTAAACAATGAGCATCGGCGACATGAATCATAAAATGGGCGTTTTTTAGCCATCAAAAAACTGGTCTAAAACCGGAACGAATAAAGTAGAGTTTCTGTGTTTGTTTACGGTTTGAGAAATATTAGTCGACGACGAGCCGAAGATTAACTCGCTACAGGACGATTTGGCAGTTCTTTGGCGCAGTTTTTGTCGACCTAGGAGCATGTTCGCGATGTTTTATGCAAACTTCTAAGGCGAAACACAAACACGGTCGTGCAGCTCGTCGCCAGTTTATGCGAGGCAAATTACCGCTGGTGATGATTACATGGACAGTGTCGATGACGACGGACAAGATGATGATAATGAGGAAAACGAGTCAGAACTACACCGACCTCTCGTTGGACCTCCTCACTTACGTCGTCGATCACGTGCTCGAATCCAGGGTACAGGTTCAGTCATCCGTCAGATGGTGCCCGCTTCTTTCCTCTCTCATTCGCCAGTCGGTCGACACGATTACGGGTGCTAATTCGCTAGTTTACGCTCGTTTAATCAACTTATACAATTGTGCAAAAAATGGATAAAATCAT